CAACAATCAGCTAGACATTCGAAAATTTCTTATGTCGAGCTAGACAATCAACATTCAGCTGAACATTCGACCTGTAATAATTATCAAAGTATCCTTAAAGTGAATGTTGAGCTAGACAATCAACAATCAGCTAGACATTCGATAATTTCTGATGCCGAGCTAGACAATCGACATTCAGCTCAACATTCGATCTATAATAAAAATCAAAGAATTTTCAAAGGGAATGTTGAGCTCGACAATCGTCATTAAGCTCAACATTCGATCTATAATAATGATCGAGGTTTTCTTAAAGTGAATGTTGAGCTAGACAATCAACAATCAGCTAGACATTCGATAATTTCTTATGTCGAGCTAGAAAATCGACATTCAGCTGCTCATCATTCGACTTGTAATAATAATCAAAGTATTCTTAAAATGAATGTTTAGCTGGACAGTCAACAATCAGCTTGACATTTGAAAATTTCTGATGTCGAGCTAAACAATCGACATTCAGCTGATTGTTGATTGTCTAGCTAAACATTCATTTTAAGAATACTTTAATTATTATTACAAGTCGAATGTTGAGCTGAATGTCGATTGTCTAGCTCGACATAAGAAATTTTCGAATGTCTAGCTGATTGTTGATTGTCTAGCTCAACATTCACTTTGAGAATTGTTTGATTATTATTATAGATCGAATGTTGAGCTGAATGTTGATTGTCTAGCTCGACATAAGAAATTCTCAAAGTGAATGTTGAGCTAGACAATCAGCAATCAGCTAGACATTCGAAAATTTCTTATGTCGAGCTAGACAATCAACATTCAGCTCAACATTCGACCTGTAATAGTTATCAAAGTATCCTTAAAGTGAATGTTGAGCTAGACAATCAACAATCAGCTAGACATTCGATAATTTCTTATGTCGAGCTAGACAATCGACATTCAGCTCAACATTCGATCTATAATAATAATCAAACAATTCTCAAAGTGAATGTTGAGCTAGACAATCGACAATCAGCTAGACATTCGATAATTTCTTATGTCGAGCTAGACAATCGGCATTCAGCTCAACATTCGATCTATAATAAAAATCAAAGAATTTTCAAAGTGAATGTTGAGCTAGACAATCGACAATCAGCTAGACATTCAGAAATTTCTTATGTCGAGCTAGACAATCAACATTCAGCTCAACACTCGACATGTAATAATTATAAAAGTATCCTTAAAGTGAATGTTGAGCTAGACAATCAACAATCAGCTAGACATTCGATAATTTCTTATGTCGAGCTAGACAATCGACATTCAGCTCAACATTCGACTTGTAATAATAATCAAAGTATTCTTAAAATGAATGTTTAGCTAGACAATTAACAATCAGCTAGACATTCGAAAATTTCTTATGTCGAGCTAGACAATCAACATTCAGCTGAACATTCGACCTGTAATAATTATCAAAGTATCCTTAAAGTGAATGTTGAGCTAGACAGTCAACAATCAGCTAGACATTCGATAATTTCTTATGTCGAGCTAGACAATCGACATTCAGCTCAACATTCGACTTGTAATAATAATCAAAGTATTCTTAAAATGAATGTTTAGCTAGACAATCAACAATCAGCTAGACATTCGAAAATTTCTTATGTCGAGCTAGACAATCAACATTCAGCTGAACATTCGACCTGTAATAATTATCAAAGTATCCTTAAAGTGAATGTTGAGCTAGACAATCAACAATCAGCTAGACATTCGATAATTTCTGATGCCGAGCTAGACAATCGACATTCAGCTCAACATTCGATCTATAATAAAAATCAAAGAATTTTCAAAGGGAATGTTGAGCTCGACAATCGTCATTAAGCTCAACATTCGATCTATAATAATGATCGAGGTTTTCTTAAAGTGAATGTTGAGCTAGACAATCAACAATCAGCTCATCATTCGACTTGTAATAATAATCAAAGTATTCTTAAAATGAATGTTTAGCTGGACAGTCAACAATCAGCTTGACATTTGAAAATTTCTGATGTCGAGCTAAACAATCGACATTCAGCTCAACATTCGATCTATAATAAAAATGAAAGAATTTTCAAAGGGAATGTTGATCTAGACAATCGACAATCAGCTAGACATTCGAAAATTTCTTATGTCGAGCTAGACAAAAGACATTCAGCTCAACATTCGAACTATAATAATGATCGAGGTTTTCTTAAAGTGAATGTTGAGCTGAATGTCGATTGTCTAGCTCGACATAAGAATTTATCGAATGTCTAGCTGATTGTTGATTGTCTAGCTCAACATTCACTTTAAGGATACTTTGATAATTATTACAGGTCGAATGTTGAGCTGAATGTTGATTGTCTAGCTCGACATAAGAAATTTTCGAATGTCTAGCTGATTGTTGATTGTCTAGCTCAACATTCACTTTGAGAATAGTTTGATTATTATTATAGATCGAATGTTGAGCTGAATGTTGATTGTCTAGCTCGACATAAGAAATTATCGAATGTCTAGCTGATTGTTGATGGTCTAGCTCAAACATTCACTTTAAGGATACTTTAATAATTATTAAAAGGTCGAATGTTGAGCTGAATGTTGATTGTCTAGCTCGACATAGGAAATTATCGAATGTCTAGCTGATTGTTGATTGTCTAGCTCAACATTCACTTTAAGGATACTTTTTGATAATTATAACAGGTCGAATGTTGAGCTGAATGTTGATTGTTTAGCTCAACATAAGAAATTTCTGAATGTCTAGCTGATTGTGGATTGTCTAGCTCAACATTCACTTTTAGAAAACCTCGATCATTATTATTGATCGAATGTTGAGCTGAATGTTGATTGTCTAGCTCGACATAAGAAATTATCGAATGTCTAGCTGATTGTTGATTGTCTAGCTCAACAATTCACTTTAAGGATACTTTTATAATTATTACAGGTCGAATGTTGAGCTGAATGTTGATTGTCTAGCTCGACATAAGAAATTTCTGAATGTCTAGCTGATTGTCGATTGTCTAGCTCAACATTCACTTTGAAAATTCTTTGATTTTTATTATAGATCGAATGTTGAGCTGAATGTCGATTGTCTAGCTCGACATAAGAAATTATCGAATGTGTAGCTGATTGTTGATTGTCTAGCTCAACATTCACTTTAAGGATACTTTAATAATTATTACAGGTCGAATGTTGAGCTGAATGTTGATTGTCTAGCTCGACATAAGAAATTTTCGAATGTCTAGCTGATTGCTGATTGTCTAGCTCAACATTCACTTTGAGAATTGTTTGATTATTATTATAGATCGAATGTTGAGCTGAATGTTGATTGTCTAGCTCGACATAAGAAATTATCGAATGTCTCGCTGATTGTTGATTGTCTAGCTCAACATTTACTTTGAGAATTGTTTGATTATTATTAAAGATCGAATGTTGAGCTGAATGTTGATTGTCTAGCTCGACATAAGAAATTATCGAATGTCTAGCTGATTGTTGATTGTCTACCTCAACATTCACTTTAAGAAAACCTCGATCATTATTATAGACCGAATGTTGAGCTGATTGTCGATTGTCTAGCTCGAAATAAGAAATTTCTGAATGTCTAGCTGATTGTCGATTGTCTAGGTCAACATTTCCTTTGAAAATTCTTCGATTTTTATTATAGATCGAATGTTGAGCTGAATGTTGATTGTCTAGCACGACATAAGAAATTATCGAATGTCTAGCTGATTGTTGATTGTTTAGCTCAACATTCACTTTAAGGATACTTTGATAATTATTACAGGTCGAATGTTGAGCTGAATGTTGATTGTCTAGCTCGACATAAGAAATTTTCGAATGTCTAGCTGATTGTTGATTGTCTAGCTCAACATTCACTTTGAGAATTGTTTGATTATTATTATAGATCGAATGTTGAGCTGAATGTTGATTGTCTAGCTCGACATAAGAAATTATCGAATGTCTATTTGATTGTCGATTGTCTAGCTCAACATTCACTTTAAGAAAACCTCGATCATTATTATAAATCGAATGTTGAGCTGAATGTCGATTGTCTAGCTTGACATAAGAAATTTCTGAATGTCTAGCTGATTGTCGATTGTCTAGCTCAACATTCCCTTTGAAAATTCTTTGATTTTTATTATAGATCGAATGTTGAGCTGAATGTCGATTGTCTAGCTCGGCATAAGAAATTATCGAATGTCTAGCTGATTGTTGATTGTCTAGCTCAACATTCCCTTTAAGGATACTTTGATAATTCTTACAGGTCGAATGTTGAGCTGAATGATGATTGTCTAGCTCGACATAAGAAATTTTCGAATGTCTAGCTGATTGTTGATTGTCTAGCTAAACATTCATTTTAAGAATACTTTGATTATTATTACAAGTCGAATGTTGAGCTGAATGTCGATTGTCTAGCTCGACATAAGAAATTTCTGAATGTCTAGCTGATTGTCGATTGTCTAGCTCAACATTCACTTTGAAAATTCTTTGATTTTTATTATAGATCGAATGTTGAGCTGAATGTCGATTGTCTAGCTCGGCATAAGAAATTATCGAATGTCTAGCTGATTGTTGATTGTCTAGCTCAACATTCACTTTAAGGATACTTTGATAATTATTACAGGTCGAATGTTGAGCTGAATGTTGATTGTCTAGCTCGACATAAGAAATTTCTGAATGTCTAGCTGATTGTGGATTGTCTAGCTCAACATTCACTTTAAGAAAACCTCGATCATTATTATTGATCGAATGTCTAGCTGATTGTTGATTGTCTAGCTCAACATTCACTTTAAGTATACTTTGATAATTATTACAGGTCGAATGTTGAGCTGAATGTTGATTGTCTAGCTCGACATAAGAAATTTTCGAATGTCTAGCTGATTGTTGATTGTCTAGCTCAACATTCACTTTGAGAATTGTTTGATTATTATTATAGATCGAATGTTGAGCTGAATGTTGATTGTCTAGCTAGACATTGAATGTCGATTGTTGATTGTTGATTGTTTAGCCAAGTTATTGTACATGGCATTTGTGGTCTTAAATTTCTTCACCAGGAAAACTGGAAAGTATTCTCATATAGTGTTCATTCCTTCCTGCACTGGTAAAGCCATAAGAAGTCATACAATTTTAACCATGTGTAATTTTAAAACCAATAAAAGAATATTGTGTATTTTTGTTCAGCAGTATCTTCTGAGCAGTAACAATGATGAAACTGATAAAACTGCCGGCTATTTTGCCAACTTAGCCAGCATATCCGCCAAAGGTATATTCAAAAATGATCTTGCTTTTTTTTTCAAAAAGGTTTATATCTCGCACATTTTGATTGTAAGACTAGCGGATAAGAAATAATTTACATTTTTATGTTTGGGAAATGAAATGAAAACCATAATAAAGATATAAACCTCAAATTTGGATACTAAAATTTGATATCTACATACATGAAAATTTGGATATTACAATTTAAAACTATATACATGAAAATTTTCTCCCAGACAGTTACAGTTGTATATCATTAAAGTAAAGGAATATGTTTGCATCCAGGTTTACAAAAAAGAATCTAGCCTTATCTAGTGACCAAGACTCCTATGCAAATAGGATATATGGAAACACTAGACAAGGAAGACTAAAAACTTGGCAGGATGGAAGTCAGGATCAATTAGATTCTACCAATGTAATTAGGCAACAACAACCGTTGTCCAGAAGAAGTTTAGATGTTCAACGACAAAATCGGAATACCTATAATAGAAAGACTAACTTTAACATGACAATAAAAAAACAGACTGCAGTCCGACAGGCTGACAGCCAAGTATATCAACGAAACAATCCAAAAAGCGTAAGCAACAAACCGCAAACACTTCAGCCAGAAGTCATTGGAACAAACACATTTCAGCCGTCACCAAGAACTCGGCCAGATACAAATTCTCCATTAAATTCACCAATTAATATCCGACGCAGATTATCCAATGTCTCAGAACAACCCTCCGAACAAAGTTCTTCATTTTGTATAATAAACCAAGGAAACTTACCAAAGTCCATGGCTATTGATCACTTACATGTAGGACAAAGGGAATATTCATCATTTTCTCTAGAACCAGATAATGATTTAAAAGTGATTGATTACTGTACGTACTGCTCCAACAAGAAGAACTTCACACCAGCAACACACCATTGCAGTTCTTGCGGACCATTTGGACGATATCTTTGTCAGAATTGTCTTGGCCCACATAATGCTTTCACTGAGAACCACAATGTCGAGTCTTTATCTGGGCACAGTTTTAAGTAAGTTACTTTAATATAACATAACTCAACCATTCATTGCATCATCAACAAAATATTAAAAATTGTAAGTGTTGTTGAACAAAATAAGATATTTACATGAAGTTACGATCAAAGCCATTTCAGGGTATGATATCTACACATGTATTCAGGATAACTATGAGGGTGAAGAAGTTGATTTGCAAAAAATAATTTAATGAATAAAACAGGTCCTACAGTACATGTATCATAATACTGAACATTAAATTAGGAGCTTCGACAAAACTTTAGATTTAAATCAATTATAGTTATTGCAATCCTTGCAGAGGAATAAACATCAAAAGGCATCCACTTTATGGCTTTTCCATTCCACATTCCATTATATTAATTTTTTCTTTTTTCGTTTTGTTACTAGAAAACAAAATCAGGAAAGCAGTGACAAGACTTTTAAAGAAACAGAGAAAACAGAAGTTCCGAATATAGAGCAACATCAAAGTTTTATCAAAGACATGTCACAAAATAAGATCAAAGCCATTTCAGGGAATGATATTTATTCAAGGTAACTATGAGGGTGAAGATGTTGATTTGCAAACATTAATCTTATTAAGAAAATAGTACATTTGAGCCGTGTCACAACAAAACCAACATAATGGGTTTGCGACCAGCATGGATCCAGACCAGCCTGCGCATCCGCGCAGTCTGATCAGGATCCATGCTGTTTGCTATCAGTTTTTCTACTTGTAATAGGGTTGGTAAGCGAACAACATGGATCCTGATCAGACTGCACGGATGCGCAGGCTGGTCTGGATCCATGCTGGTCGCAAACCCATTATGTTGGTTTTGTCATGACGCGGCTCATTTATCGTACTACTAAACATTAAATGAGGAGCTTCGACAAAACTTTAGATTTAAATTGATTATAATTAATGCAATCCTTGCAGAGAAATAAACATCAAAAGGCATCCACTTTATTGCTTCAGTTCAGGTTCAATCCATAATGCCTTCAAGTGGTGGAAATCTCATTCACTTGGCCGTCTCTTTCCATAACAGTGTCAGCCTTCTGATATATTGACGTAAAACTTGTGATATAATTTTGTCATAGAAGAGACAGACTTATAACTATACTAGTCTTAGCATGTTTTATTAAGTCCTGCCGTTTCATTTCACATTTCCTTATCTTGTGTTTTATATATTTATCAATTCCATTATAAATTATTTCCTTATTTTGTGTTTTATATATTTATCAATTCCATTATAAATTATTTCCTTATTTTGTGTTTTATATATTTATCAATTCCATTATAAATTATTTCCTTATTTTGTGTTTTATATATTTATCAATTCCATTATAAATTATTTCCTTATTTTGTGTTTTATATATTTATTAATTTTTATTTTTGTTTCTTTTTTGTTACTAGAAAACAAAATCAGGAAAGCAGTGACAATTCTTTTAAAGAAACAGAGAAATCAGAAGTTCCGAATATAGAGCAACATCAAAGTTTTATCAAAGACGTGTCAGTAAAAACTGAAGACGACGAGCAGTCATGCCAGATAACAGGCTTGTGCCAGCTTCAAAACGGAACGATTGTTTTAACTGAAATGAACAATAAGGCTATAAAAGCATTGGACAGTGGGACTTATCAAGTTACAAGTACTTATAACCTGTCAAACTATCCAATGGACATATGCTGTATGGAAGGTAGCGAAGCTTTGGTTGTATTATATAAATCTACCATACAGTATATAAGCATCGACCCTGATGATCACATTGAACTGACACGTAAAAAAGTGCTGACGCACGACTGTATCTGTCTGGCCTACTGTAACCGGAAAATATACGTCGGAAGCAGTACACGTCTTTATATATATGACACAAAATGGGTGAAGATTGACGAGATCACTAACGATTTGTTTGGGGATGACAGAATATTCTCCGATCAATTTAGTATTGCAGTATCCGAGTCGGACGATTTAAATACAATTTACATCGCTGAGGAAAATAATGGAATGTTTGCAATCGAGATCACAGGACAGGAGGTTGCGATGACTTGGAAATTTAAGGATTGCCAAGTGTTCAAAGCAAGTGGCTTGTGCCTTGACACTACTGGAAATGTCCTCCTCTGTGACAAAGGATCAGAACGATTGATAAAGATGAATAGGGAAGGCATGATCTTAGGCATACTGTTGGACAGTAGTAGTGAAATACAAACATTGAATATTCCATTTCATGACAAGAAAAACAACAATGTCATCATATCAATCTCTGGCAAAGATTTTATTAAAGTTTTCAACTTTAAATGAATGCATTCAAAGGTTACCTGAATGGAATGAATATTCAAGACACTGTGTTAAGTTGAATCCTGTAACAGTGTGATCAATCTAATACTGTTAAGACAATGCATTGAAAGAAATTTTAATAGTTTAGCTTAACATATTTGAAAAGAACTGACAAATATATATATAAACTTTTAGAAAAAGTGTTTACCACAAGTATGAAATTTTTTCTTAAGAACTTGTGCAGAAAGCATTACCCATTTCAATAATGATCTTTATTTTAGCTTAATAAGACAATAACTAGTACACAGTGCATTCTCAAATAGGGCAAATTCTTTTCCTATATTCATGATTTCACTTATATACAGGCTGTCCAGCACCTTCTGACATAAAATTAGGGCGAATTTTAGGGCAATATTTTAGAAATTTTAGGGCTAAAATTAGGAATTTTAGGGTACATAATAGAAATGTTAGGGATACCATTTGGAATTTTATAACTAAACTAAGGCCCCAAAGAACCATGATGTGGGCAAACCTTTGCATATTTGACACAAAAGTAACTCACAAATAATGCTCTAGTTTAGTTAGAGCAAACTTGTCTACCAATGTGGACTCACTGGTCAACTGCCTCCCCTGCGGAAATTGTCATAGTCAAACCATGTTCAACCCATATTTGAAATGTTTTTTCAATGGCTGAACATATCAAATAGAACATGCTCTACCTATGTTTTGGGAATGTTATAACCACGAGTTTCTAAAAGGAATTCTTATACAGTAAAATTCATGCACAATGCAGCTTTTGAATATGGACAAATGAAATTTTTTGTACAAGTAGGAAGTAAAAAGGCATTAGCCTTAGTACAGTTATTTGAACAAATTGGAAGCATCTATAATCAACACACAGAATTGCACATCAAAAAAGTTCATCACACAGACCATTCAATTGCAGTCAGCTTTGTTATGTCCATGATCATTTTCGCAGGGTTATAAGTATGTTTATAACAAAAGATAAAAAAATTAGGAATTTCTGTGAAAAAATAGGGCATTTTAAGGAATTCCCTTTGAATTTTTCATTTTTTTAGGAATTTTAGCCAAACTGAAAAAAATTAGGATTTTCTAGGAATTTTAGGGACGCTGGACAGCCTGTATATACTGCATTTTGACTTACACTGCAATCTTTTAAACTAATAGGGGAAATTCTTTTCCTTCATTCATACTTTCATCAAACATATATGAGCCCTGTCATGACAAAACTAACATAATGATTGTGTTTGCGACCAGCATGGATCCAGACCAGCCTGCGCATCCGCACAGTCTGATCAGGATCCATGCTGTTCGCTATCAGTTGCTCTAGTTGTAATAGAGTTGGTAAACGAACAGCATGGATCTTGATCAGACTGCGCGGATGCGCAGGCTGGTCTGGATCCATGCTGGTCGCAAACCCATTATGTGGGTTTTGTCATGACGCGGCACGTATTCATTCAATTCCATTACTCAGTTTATACTAACAGAAACAAAAGCAAAAACAGTTTAACCATTAAACTGCTTCCAAGACAGGTTTAACTGCAGCCAACTTGACTGGAGTACTCTAATTGCACTTTCTCTCCCAAATTTAAACAAGTGGTTGAGAAGTAGTACACAGTGTGCTAATTGCACTTTCCCTCCCAAATTTAAACAAGTGGTTGAGAAGTACTACACAGTGTGCTATTATCTCCTCAGAACAGGCAGGGAACTTTAAGGTTATTATCTAACAGGGCTGTTTCTACTTAGAGGCAAACACTGTGTCAGTGCAAGTTAAGTCATAAAAGTTATTTCATCATCTTCAGTTATACAATTTTACCCGTGTCATTATCTTTTTGATATAATTACATGTATGACAGCAAAGACAAAACAGTAATTATGTGATGAATGCACTTAAAAACTTGAAATATTAATCAAACATTTCCACCAAATGACATAGAAATGTATTTATTTTCATAAGTCATATTTCCTATCTGATACTTATTCAAAAATTATGCAACCTTGTAAATTAAAGGCTTATTATGCTTTTACATTTATCTTTTGAATTTTTTTTATTTTTGATGTCCAAGTATAATTTCCAAAAATTACTCATTGGTCAATTTCTTGAGCCATCATCATTTTCTTCTGTTTTTTTTTTTTTTTTTTTTTTTTTTTTTTTTGGCAATTAGTACAGTCATAGTGATTTATTATTTTGTATGGAAGTCAAAATACTACTTTATTAGTTTACATTTTTCAACTTTTATGACAAGTAATTTAACATTAAGTGTAAGTTTGCTTATTTCTGGTAAAAAAGCATCTAACATGCTCTAAATTATGCTCTCATTTTTTAAATGTTATAAAACTCATCTCTGCCTTTTTAAAAAAAAGGAAAATTTTATTCATTTCTGAGGCATAATGTGCCTTGAACAACAAAAAAGATTTCAACAAAATCTTGGAAAATATTGTTTGTTTTTTTAGTGTGATTTTGAACAAATTTGTCATGGATCAAATAAAATTGTACACTGTCATACTCTTTATTTAGACATTGATTATACATTTGATTCTCAATACAACCTGCGGCTTACTTTGCAATTTGTATACATTGTATATTAGAACATTTTGCTTTTGCATTTTGCTTGTAATTTTTTTACACATGTATATTATTTTGTTATGTACTTTATTATCATATATATTTATTGGTAAATAGCATGACAGTTTTTTACAATACATGTTGAGCAAAACCTTTTCTTTTTTAATAAAAAAGTAATCAAAATAAATGTTTAAGTGTTCACTGTAAAATGAAAGATTTTGACAGATTGTAAAGCATATATCAGTGTTTTCTCTCACTTAATTAATGGAAGAGGCCTTAGCCTCTTGATTTTGGTGAATATTATCACTAAACTTGCTAACTTGGAAAGCAAAAAAAGCAGGTTAAAGTTCAATTTTTTGGGAAAACTGCATGATGTTAAAAATAATTTTAATTTCTAAGAGGCCTTAAAATAAAAAAAAATTATAGGCCTCTGTTAATAATTATGCAAGGTGAAAAATCACTGTACATGTATATGTAAGTACCCTAAGCTTGTCAGTCCAGTTTTTAAGACAATGTTTGTTTTTGACTCTGTCCCAGCCTATTTAACTAAAGGATAATGTTTTGTCAACATAATTGATGTGTAATCTGCAAGTTTAAGTCTATGAGTGGAACAACTAAGTGTTTAATAATTCGGGTAACAGCCATTTAACAAATGTAATTTGTCTTCCTCCATTAATTTATTACAAATAATTTATATGTAGAAGCTGGCAAATACCTTAAGGTTGGTTCAGGGTCACAGGAGTAAGGACATTAGGACGGTATCTGTTCACCAGTATGTAAGTGAAATAACATTTCAAACATCAGCCTTAAGCCCTTAACCCCTAAAAGACCAACTTTTTATACATGAAGAACACAAAAGTATTATCTACCATATGTACCAAAGAGAAATGGGACCAAACGCTGAACATAAAAGTGGACCTTATCTCTGTTATAGAGTCTAATGAAAATTAAATTAATCAAGATTAATTAATATACAACATTAATAATT